AACACATTCACTGTGCTAAGCACCTGAGTAATCCCATCCTTATGTAGCAAGGCAGTTCTATTTATGCATAAACCCCGCAGTAGCAATGTTAGGCACGTGTTTAAGGGCTTTGATGAACCAGGGCCTTGGTGTTGAAAAAATGGGAGTCGAAGGCATTCTGCACTTCGCAGGACTGGTTGCCGAAATGGAATTTACCCATTAATAACACCTTCTGCCATCAGTGAGTCTAGCACAGCTGTTTGGAAAATTTCCAAGTAACATGTCATTACATTCATTAACTGTGTCTTGTGTTGCGATATGGCAGGAAAATAACTAACCAGTGAAAATAGGGCAGATCTTTTCCCAGCATGTAATTCCTCCTTCAGAGGTATATTGTCCTAGCGCCACCTCCAGGAAAAACACAGGAAGACCTCCCCCAAACAGGAAAATGAAATAAGGTATAAGAAATGCACCTGTAGAGAAAACACAATGATGTACAATAAAGATTAAAAGAATTCAAAATGAAGAATAATCCACATGCTGCGGTAGATATATGTAACAAGGAAACACATTTGATACCCTTGTGTACACATATAACAATTTTACTTTTCTGGGATTATTGCCCCTGTTCAAAGATTAAAAATAGAATGGTTACAAACCAAAGGGAAAGGGCATTTTCATTCCTTTTTAAAGTGAACATCTATAAAGATGATGAGGATTAGATATACTTTCATTTCATTTAAGCGAAAGCAGTATTTTTATGTTAAAACCCAAAAGAAATGTTCAGTTCAAGTCTTGTCTTAGTTGCACCACTATAAATTTGGAGTAGCGCCATTAATTGGAGTTATTCTACATTTACACTGAGAATATTGATCCATATAATTAACGTATATATTTATTTTTAAGTTAAAAGTGAAGTTCAACTGTAATACTAGTAAAATGCAAGGTTGTTGGTTTTTTTCATAACAGAGCTTGGATATTAACTATGAAATAATCAAGCAATTTCTCGTACAGGTTGGGAAAGAGAAAAGAGATTGTTATGGATATCTCGATTTTAAATATGTGGGAGACACGCCGATGCTACAGTATTGGAAGGATGGATGGTTGGACGAATGTATAGCTGAATGAGAAGGAATTAGAGAGAGAGAGAAAAATACTCACCTCCGCCATTTTTATAGCAGAGATACGGAAACCGCCAGACATTGCCTAAACCAATAAATCCACCAGCCACGGACAGCAGAAAGTCAATCTTACTCGCCCACTTCTCCCGTTGAGGCGGCTTCCCCTCTGCCTCGTCCTCAGGGCGTGTCCCAGGGCTCTTGCCAGGGGAAGGTTTGAGGATGTCCTTGTGGAAATCTTTCAAACACTGCAGCTTCTCCTTTGTTGCCATGTTTCTGGTTTCTAAAGAGAAAAAAGTGGCATGAATTTATTAAACAGACATTATTGGGAGAACTCCAACCATACAAACCTTCTTTAACCAAACTAAGTTCCCTTAAAGGTCACCCATTACTAACGCACACATTTCCTTTACTGACCGAGACACAAATAGGCCTCAAAAAGTACACAGAAATGTCTACCTTTGCAGGACCTTGTCAGAATATGATGCAAATACTTCCTGTGCTTGATCCAACACTCAGAGGTGAAAGTAAGCCAGTACGGTATGGTAACACAGCCAACATCACTGGCAGGACCGCTGATGGGGGAGGGGGCCAAAAGGGGCAGCTTCCCCGGGGCCCGGCAATTTAAAAGGGCCTGGGGCTCCCGGCAGCGGCTGGAGCCTCTGGCCCTTTAAATCGCCGCCAGAGCACCAGGGCTCCCAGCCACCGCTGCTGCTACCGCTACCATGGGGCTCCGGCGGCGATTTAAAGGGCCTGGTGCTCTGGCAGCAATTTAAAGGGCCTGGGGCTCCCAGCCGCCGCTACTGCTACTGCGCCAGCAGCCAGAGCCCTGGGTCCTTTAAATCGCCCCTGGAGCCAGGGCCAGCTTTAAGCCAATTCACCCGATTCCCCGGAATTGGGCCCCGCTCCGGGGGTCTTTGGCGGCATTTCTGCGGCAGGGGGTCCTTTGGTGCCGCGGAAGACCCGGAGTGGACCCCCCGCCGCGAAGTGCCGCTGAAGCCCCAACTGCCGCCGGGTATTGGAATCGGGCCCCGTGGGTCATAAAGCCGGCCCTGCCTGGAGCCCCGGGCGGCGCGAGCCGGGCAGTGCTGAAGGGCTGGCTGGGGGAGCCTGGCCCCAGCCCTGCCCCTTCCACCCAAGGCCCCGCCTTTTCGGGGGCCCAGAGCCACTCCGCCCCACCTTGCTCAGGACCCCGGCCGCCCTGCGTACCAGGAAGTCACTTAAGTTACTTTCACCCCTGCCAACACTCCACTGACTCAAAGACTTCCACTGACATCACTGGGCACGGGATCAGGCCAGTGAGCACTGAGAGGCTGTGTACATTGGCACTGGAACCTCACTGCTCTAAGAGGGTGTGCTCTGCCAGATTTAGGAGGTGTAAAAGATGTGCAGTCCTTGTGTGCTGACTAACTTCAGGCAGCGGGTGTATAGGGAACGCACGCTGCATCAGTAAGTGATGGGGCTGAGTCGCCACACCCCCGACGGCAGAGGTCGTTAACAGGCTGACTGCGGGCCAAATCGGGACTGCCAGATACTTCTGAACGGACTGCAAAATCTTTTTATTGTCCTTATTGTTACTGCTGTGTGAAAAATGTTTCTCTGGAGTCTGGACCTTGACTATAGCTTAACCAAGAAATTTGGACCTTGACAAAAAATAATTGACTACCCCTACCCTAAGGGATTCTGCTTGCTATGGGGCAGCGTTTCTCAGGTTGCTGCTGCTTACTCTGAATCCCCTTAACTCCTCTCAATGGGCAAGTCCAAATGAAATACATATTGCACGCTGATGTCTTACAGTACTCTCACATTTTTTAAGTAACATCCATAGCTCTTTCCCACTGCCCTAATTCTTACTAGACTCTTGTATCATTTACAGCCTGCCATACTCTGGCTCTGACTAAAGTATTGTGATGGTTTATCCTTAACAAGCTGGAATGGGAAGCCATTTCTCCTAATCAGGCCATAGGATCTGAAAGAGCATCTTCAATTTATTCTATTCACAATGAACCTGCTTTCACTTGGCATCAGTAAAAGCAAATAAACTTTTATATTCCGTTAACTTCTTATATGCACATATAAAATTACACATTTTTCTAGTGTGATGGTTGGTTAGTTAATTAAAAATCCGAGGGCATGACTGACCCTGATGCAAAACCAAAAGCAAATTCAACCACAGGGGCCAGCTCATTTAATAGTGAGCAAATGATTAATTGCCATGTGAAAATAATAAACCATGACATTATTTTATATATAAGTGCCTTTTTTATCCAGGAGTTCTTAACTAAAACAGTTTAGGAATAACAATTTTTTTTTTTACAGACAGACTATTTGAAATTATGCATTCATCAAAATGTGTTGGCAAGTAAATGGTAAACCCAAATTCAGACATTAGGTCAAATTTCTTCTGCATGCAACTCAAATGACTTCATCTGACTCAGGCTTGTTACGTTTACACGGTGTTATGATGCTGAAAATAAACATTTTCATCAGACCCAAACAAACCAGCAACTTTATGCCAGGCCACAGCCATTCCTTGCTTGGTACATGTTCTAATGTGTGCACAGTCATAAAAATCCTGCTTCATATTATCCCATTTGCTAGCCGTAAGCCTAGTACTTCCTTGCTGCTTTCTGATCTGTAAACAGATTTAGAAGCTTGGGTTGACATTAGCTCTACGAGAAGTTTTTAATTGGAACATGATTCTGAGATTCGTGCATCAGTGTACCTAGAGAGATGAAAACCTTTCCATACACCGTGTATCTCTGAGCCAGTCAAGCCCCAGCACCGTAAACATTTGAAAGGCCAGTGTTCTGGTAAGATGTCCCTCTGCAATAACAACTCCCTACTGCTCTGACAGCTAAAAAACCAACCCATTTGTTTTAGCAGTACTTAATCACTAGGGTATTCTCCTGCACTAGGAGAAAGGTCTGTTATTATATACATACTAGTGAACAGGAGGGGGAGCTTGGGGAAGGAGAAAGATAAGATGCTGGATAATCATTAAGGCTAAGATTTAATCATGGGTATTTTTAGTAAAAGTCATGGACAGGTCATGGGCAATAAACAAAAATTCACAGCCCCATGACCTATCCATGACTTGTACTATATACCCGACTAAATCTTGGGTGTTCTGGGGGACTCCAGGGCGCAGCTGCTGCTCTGGAGGGGGAGCTCTGGGGTGCCCGCTGATGCTACAGTGGGGGGCTCTGAGGCATCTGCTGGTCCTGGGGGGAGGGGGCCTTTGGGGCGCCCGCTGGTGCACCTGCTGGCGCTGGAGGGAGAGGCTCCGGGGTGCCCACTGGTGCTGGGTGGGCACCTGGGTGCCTGCTGGTGTTCGAAGGAGGAGGGGGCCTCTGGGGTGCCCGCTGGT